GTGTCTTGCTTGAGAAGACAGGATGCTCCCCTGCCCATATCAGAAGCTGGTGAGCAATCAAGAGTGTTGGTTAGGAGTGAGGCAGCAGCTGGCCCTGGATCCTTGCCCTTCCCCAGTGTCTCAGCTAAGTATATACCTCACTGTTCCTGGACTCCTGAGGTATGAAAGAGGCCTTATGGGCTGCTCAGTAAGTGTGTTGCACTGTGTGTTCACTCTCCAGAGCCTCCAAAATTCGTCCACAGGTGCCTTGGGGCACACCCTGAGGGAAAGCTGGCTGGACTGTAACTATAGAAGGTTCTATTTCTGTCTGAGGCTCTGCCTGACATGAGAATCCTTTGAAATCAGAACAGTGGGGTAGTGAAAGTAGGTGTATGGTGGAGACCAGAGCCAGATTGGAGCTAGGTTAATTCAGGGGCTGTGTTGCTCCTAGTAAAACCAAGGGTTCTTTGCCATCCTCTTTCCCCTTTTGTCTGCTGCATTTGCCTCTGGTCAGGAAAGAAAATTGGATGGGGATACTAAATCCCAAAGCCTATAAAATCCTCTCACTTCAAGGCTCCATTACTGGGCTTCCAACTCTTAAATAGTGTGTCTGCTTGAGTGGCTGCCTCTGTGGCAGCCCCCTGCCCCTTGCCTGCTTTACTGCTTCATGGATGTCAAGCAGTAGAGCTTCTAGTGGCCTGTGGAGAACAGTGCCTGCCCCTCCCCATGATGGGTTGAATGAACCTCAGGTGCTGGGGATTCATCACCACCACCAGAATTTGGCTCATACGCACCAGGGCTGACAGGTCAGAGGCATGTTGCCATAGGCTGTTAAGAAGGATTCTCTGCTGAGGGCAGACAGAGCCTGCACCTTGGGGTTCCAGGATGGCGTAAGCCCAGGAGCCATCTCTGGAGGAAGCAGACATCTTCGCCCCTGCTTGATAGCACCCCCTCACTTAACTGGCATTAACCACTGAAATAGGCAACTCCAGCCCCAGGTCCTACAGTTTATACCTTGGGCAGCTCTCTTGAGCTCCTAGCCAACCCTCAAGATCTGGGTGGTTGCCAGAAGAAGGCTAGGTTCTGTGTGTTCTCATGGCCTCCAAAATTGCAGTTGTAGGTGTGGGGTCAGGGTTGATTCCTGCTGAGATCATATGGTATGTGGATTTGGTGCTTGGGCTTTGTTATCATTCTCTGATAAATTTCTCATTTAGTCAAACTCCTAGCTGTTCTGCTCACCAGCTACATCTTAGGATGTTAGCCCTGACCTCTCTGAGCCTGCTAGCTCATCTGTCCAGAGGGAATGGCACTAGAGTATCTCTGCCTGCCTACCCCTTGCCTGCTGTGTATCCTTAAGTGGATCATATATCCTCTCTGGGCTCCAGTTTTCTTTGTCTCTAAAAAGGCTGATCTCTCCCTCTTTTGCCTCCCAGAAATAAGGGACAGTGAGAATGCATACGTTTGGACCTTTGGATATTCCCTGTGAATACAAACTACCACTCTGAATTTCTCCTGGTTATATGCTGTAAGGAAAAGCTAAAGAAGAACACACGGCCTCTAGCCTCTGTGAAACCTAGTTTAGAGAATAAAGATCTAGGACCACATGTCTCCCCCAAATGCCAAGAAAGACTTTGTTCACGGTGTTGGAGGAATCAAGCATCAGCTCTATTTTCCTAGAGCTGCTGCCAAGCTGCTTGACTTTCCTTCACCCTAGAACCTGCCGCTTCTCTGTCTCTCTCCCACACTTAGTCACCCACTCATACATACCACTCGCACCAGTCTACATTCCCTATGTCTGTTCTCCCCATACATACCCCAGGACTGTCGTTTATCCTCATATCTCCATCTGTTCCCTCCAGGCCCTGGGGTACAGTCATTTGGGTTTGGGAATTGGAGACATTGCTGTTACTTCTGACAAATTCCTGGGAGGGATCATACAGAGATTGGTCTCTTGGGGGAAATTTTGGTGTAAGTTAGTGGTCAGGGCTAGTCTTGATTTTTCAGGTGGATGGGAACATGAGGGGTCGTGTCATATAGATCTGTGACCCCTGGAGAAAGCCCTCCAGGGAACAGTTAGGGTGAACACCATATGAATTCCTGACCTTTCCTCTGATTCTATGTCCCTCCCACCCCTAGACTGCATACCTTTTAGTTCATAGGTTGAATGTGGCTGGTTCCTTAAGCCTCTTCTATCAAAGACCTTTCAAAGTGTCAAATAGCCTCATGGAATTCTTTGATAAGCCTCAGTTTTCATGCACTTCTCCTCCCTGCCATTTTTTTCACTTGTTCCCCTTCTTTTTTTTTTTTTTTTTTATTCATTTATGATAGTCATAGAGAGAGAGGCGCAGAGACACAGGCAGAGGGAAAAGCAGGCTCCATGCACCAGGAGCCTGACGTGGGATTCGATCCCGGGTCTCCAGGATCGTGCCCTGGGCCAAAGGCAGGCGCCAAACCGATGTGCCACCCAGGGATCCCCAACTTGTTCCCCTTCTTGACTTGTATTTCCAGGCCAAGGAGAGAGGAGGGGCTTCCTGTCTTCCACCTGTGATCAGTATCTGTAGAGGCCAGGGAACAAAACAATAGAATCAGAATAGGAATCCTGCTAGCTACTTGGTTAGGGAACACAGCAAGTGAAGATGTAGCCAGAGCCTCAGGGGTTTCCAGTTGAGGACTCTGGCCTCTCTAGAACATTGACAAGAACTTCCTTGCAGGATGCTCCAGGTCCTGGCCTGAAGAAGGCTGAGGCCTTTGGTCAGCCAAAGCTTGATGCCTCATCTTGTGGTCTCTCCTTAAGTCTCAGATTTGTGCCTCAGTGCAAACCTCCCCCTGCTCACCTTCCCCTTCCCCAGTGCACCATTAAAACGTGCTGCTTCTAGGTAAGAAGAGTAACCTGAGAGCTGAGAGGAGTGGTTCTTGAGGGGAACAGGACAGGTGTTTGGGGCCTGAACCACTGGGGTAGTATGGCCACAGGACATGTGCTGGCCTGTGCAAACAAAGGCAGAAGAATAGGTAGTATGGTGTGAGGATAAGGATGTTGGATCCTGCCCCAGGGTAATACATTAATTCTCCCTCCTTTCCTTCCCCCCTCATAGGCTTGCAGCCCTAAGTGAGCGGGAGACTCGGCTGCAGGAAGTACGCTCAACTTTCTTGGCCGCATACAGCAGCACAGTGGGGCTTCGAGCAGCAGCCCCCAGTCCCTCTGGTGCCATTGGGGGCCTACTGGAGCAGTTTGTCCGTGGTGTTGGACTCCGGGGCACCAGCAGCAGCACCTTATGAAGTAGCCAGCCCACAACAATTTCCTGCTCCTCTCACCTGAGCCCTGAGCGGAATCAAAGCCATGCCTGGACAAGGGGTGCTTCAAGATAGGAGGGAAATCTTCTCACTCCTCCTTCTCCATCATGCACATGGCAGCCCCAAAGCTAAGCAGGGCTAAGGATAGGGTTCTCCAACCCCCAGCTTCCTGACTGGTGACCACCACCCCTCTTGTCATTGCCTTTCACCTACCCTAGTCTTTGTTGGGATTCCCATCAATTCTCAGAACTGTGTGGGGTTTCCCTGGGGCCTTGTGGGGGCTGAGACCTCATGAAAGACTCCCCTCTTCCCATTCTTGTTTCCTGGAGAGGAGGGATCACCTGCACTGAGAATGAGACAGTTTGACACAGATCACAAAATAAAAATCTTTTTGAACAACTGCTCTCTTGCATCCTCATTTGGTTGCTCTCTTTGTGGAGTTATTTGGAAGGTTCTTACTGTTCTTCCTTGTGCTGGAAGGGGTTGGGGTAAGGGTCAGATAAAGCAGAAAGACAACTGAAGAATGGGTTGTGTCTTTTAACATGACAGTCTCAGACCGGGACATGCAGCCACAGGCTGTCAGTGGGCCCTAGTCACCTAGGAACCTATTTATCCACACAGATTCCCAGGGCTGCCTGAAATTTAGACTTGGGGTTGCTGAGATCTTCATTTAGCTAGGAATGGGCAGGGGGTGGGGGTATTCTTCATTTTAAACAAGTTCTGCAGGCAGCTCAGTCCTGGTACAGGTGACTCACAGCCCCTGCCTTATGGAGCCCTGACTTTGGCGGAGGGATTGACTTCCGGGACTTTAAAGGCAGTAATTGGCGTGGAGAGAATGGACCTGGCTGACTACCACCCTCATCTGCAGTGTGACCTAGATAGAGGAGATTGCATCCTCACAGTATGTCTGCATCTCTAACACCATGAAGTCAGAGTTCAAAGACATGGGCAGAGGGCTTTTCAGAATGCTATCACACAGTCACCATTTACTGAGTTCTGGCCCTTAACACAAAAGAGGTCATCAATATGACTGCCTGGAGGAAGGAAATAATATCAGTGAACGTTGCTTAAGTACTTACTGTGTACAATCCCGTGAGCTACTTCATTTATGTGGATTATCTCAAAATTTAACAACACCCCAAGTAGGTGCTATTCTGGCCTTCCACTGATGAGACTGAACCACAGAGATGTTGAGTAACTTGCCCAAGGTCACACAGCTAATAAGAATAAATGTAGAACTCTTCCTATTTGGAGACCCAGGAAGAGCGGAAGTGGGAAGGGGAAGAAGCAGATTGTTCAGGGAGCAGCTCAGGAAGAGGAAACGTCCCTAACACCCACCGGGCACCCCAAACCCTTCAGCACCGCGGACAGCTCTCAGGGTTTTGTGTGTGTGTGGTTTTTTTGTTTTTTTGTTGTTGTTGTTGTTTTGTTTTGTTTTTTGCGGAGGGAGGCGCGGGTTGACAGAATGAAATGCGCTGGCTGGAGTTGGGGTCGGGGTTAGGTTGCCAGCCGGCTCGAGGCTGCTCCAATGGGGCGGGGGCCACCCGCAGGGCCGGGCGGGGCTAGGTTACCATCTGGAGTCGCTGCTGCCGGCGGCGGCCACAGTCAAGGCTCCATCGGCGGGAGTGCGAGCAGGGCTGGAGGGAGTGCAGCCGCCGCCGCCGCCGCTATCGCGGCGGCACATGGACCAGCCCCATCGCTGCCGCCGCCCCTAGCCCGGGCGGCCCCCGTCTCACAGCCTCCCGCAGCTCCGGCCACTCGACCAGCCATGTCTCTCAGCGGAGCCTCCGAACGCAGCGTCCCGGCCACCAAGATTGAAATTACCGTGTCCTGCCGGTGAGCCACCACACTGGGGAGGGCGTAGGCACTGCCCCTGCCCGAATCAGCAATGGGGCTTGGCGCGGACAAGAGCTAGTCCCGGGGGAAGGGAGGGGGAGAAGCATCCAGGGCCGGAAAATCTCAAATTCAGACTTAGGGGAGTCGCTGGCGGGTTCGGGGAGGGGGTTTCTTTGAACAGCTCCACCCGCAAAAGAAAGCTCAGCCTGCAGGTTCAAGGGATGGGTCATGGGGACCCAGTAGGATCTGGGCCCCAGGAGGACAAAGTTCTGGGGCTAACCCTCTTTCCTGGGCCCTTGAAGACTGTGGACGCAGAGATAACAATTCTTGAGCTGATATTTCCGGTGCTGTCCAGGGTGCTGATAACGCGGACCCCCCCCCCCCACCTCCCCTCTCAACAACTCTCCACTCGATGTAGTAATGGGGGAGGGAGATACGATTTGAGCCCCATGCCTACCCTGGGTGCCCAATTCAGGGCAGAGTCGAGGTACTGGGCTCCAGAATGACCCACCCTCTCTCTGTTGCTTTCTCTAGGAACCTGCTGGACCTCGACACCTTCTCCAAGTCGGACCCCAGTAGGAGGCGCCAGGGATGGGAGGGGGAACTAGGGTCCTGGCGCGACTGTGGGGTGGGGAGGGGTTCGGGCCAACCCAACATCCTTCCTTCCCTGCCTCCACTCTCGCCTGCAGTGGTGGTGCTTTACACGCAGAGCCGGGCCAGCCAGGAGTGGCGAGAGGTGAGTCTGAGAGCCCTCTCCCAGCCAAGGGCTGCCCTCCTCTCCCCCATTGTCACCTGCCCCCTTGCAGGCCCCTTCTGACTCTCCACCCCCTATCCAGTTCGGAAGGACAGAGGTGATCGACAACACGCTGAACCCAGACTTTGTGCGCAAATTCATCCTCGACTACTTCTTTGAGGAAAAGCAAAACCTTCGCTTCGATGTGTGAGCCCCGCCCAGAATCCTGGGTTGGACCGCCCCTGCCCCCCGACCAGGATCCAAGCAAAATTCTGGCAGGCTCCTCCCCAGCCCGGCCTCCCAGCCTAGCTTCTCCACCAGGCCGTTTGGTTCCAATCTAAAGGCCTCCACTCTAGTCTTAGCTCCATCCCCAAGTCCAGCTTGGCCCTGCCCTTAGATGAGATCCAATCCAGTTCACTCCCCAGACATAGTAGGGCCCAAAGCTTTGCACTCTAATTTAGCTCAGGCTCCATCTAGGTCCCAGCCCCTGACATGACCCCATCCCCAACAGGCCCCAGACTTGGCCTCATCCCTGACTGCAATCCTAACTCCTGCCCTAAAGGAGATCCTAATTGAATCTGGATCCAAGTCTACCCCTCCCTCTACCCACAATTTTAACCAGGATTCAAAACCCAAAACCTTTTCCAGGCTGTCCCTGCCAGCCCCACCTTATGCTGATTCCACTCTCTTCCCAGATACAACGTTGACTCCAAAACCAACATCTCCAAACCGGTGAGCGAGCGTCCCCTCGCGGGCTGGTCAGGCACACAGGAGGCGCTCAGTGTTAACCAACCTTCCTTAGTACCCTCCTACCCCTCCACCCCAACTCTACCTTCTTGGGTCCAAACCTACCCTCCCAGCCCTCCTCTCCTGCTCCTGACTCTTGGTTTCCCAACCTTGTCTTTTACTCACTGTTCCTCTTCCTTCTCGGCCCCCTCTGGGACATACAGAAGGTGAGGCTGAACAGGGCTGGCTTTGGGATGGTGGGGTGTGGAATGGAAGGTGAGGTGTGGGATGGCATTGTGGAGAGCAGCTTAAACTGACAGCAGGACCAAGAAGCAGAATTGGTCTGGGGACCCCTTGCCCCTCCTTTAAAGCACAGGCAGGGCGATGCTTCTAGCATTCAGCCACCGTGGAACACAGTGGTTGGTGCAGCAGTATCGCCAGGGCTGGGCTGGGACGCTGCATCCACAGCCTCTCCTGGCCTTCCTGACTCCATGTCCTGGTGCAGGATTTCCTGGGACAAGCATTCCTGGCACTGGGAGAGGTGATTGGCGGTCAGGGCAGCCGTGTAGAGCGACCCCTCACGTGAGCTGAACAAGAAGGGGTGCTGGGGAAGGGTGGGTGCCTCCAAATTCTCCTCCCAAAGATACTGTTGACCCAATAGCAGTGAAGCCTGGGACTCCCCCTACTCAGGAGCCTTCAATGGTTCCTATCACCCTCCTAGGAAAGACCAATATCTAGGGCTCCATTCAAGTCAGTCTCAGGCCTGATATGTCTTGTCCTCTCTCTCTCTCACCTCACTCTTTTTCTAAGTCTGATTCTATCCTTAAGGTCCATTTCTAAGCTTTTCCTCCAGAAAGCTTCCCCTCACTAATTCAAGACCCCTGGAATTTCCATTACATTCACTCACTAACTATTTATTAGCATATTTTGTATAGCATACCCTGTGCTAGGCACCAGGGACTCATCCATTCCATAAATACTACTGGGCATGTACTCTATGTCAGCCACTGTTCAAGGGGCTTGGGTTGTAATGATGAATATAACAAAGGTTTCTGCCCTCAGGGAGCTTATACTATAAAAGGAGGGGGATGAGAAACTAAAAATAGCCATAATAAATAAGTAAATTATATATTAGAAGACATTAAGTACTATGGGAAAAAGGCAAAGTAGAGCAGAATTAGGAGGATTGGAAATGCTGGGTGGGTGGGACTTGTATTACTCAGCAGAGTGATTGAGTAGGCTTTATGGAGAGGTAACCTCAGAGCAATGACCTGAAGGAAGTAAGGAAGTGAGCCATGTAAATATCTGGAGGTCGAATGTTCTAGGCAGAAGAAGCTGCCAGTACAAAAGTCTGATATGTTCAAATAGCAGCAAAGAGGCCAGTGTGGTTATAGCCAAGTGAGCAAAAAGTAAGAATTAGGAGATGAGATTGAAGAGTTAACAGTTTAGTGTCTTGTAGCCACTGTAAGGACTTTAGCTTTTACTCTGAGTTAGGAATCGCTGGAAGGCTCTGAAGACACAAGTGACATGATATGACTATGTTTTCAAATAATGATTATGGCTGCTGGATTGAGAATAAACTTTGAGTGGACAAAGACAGTAGCAGGGATCCCATTGAAAGGCTATTACAGTAATCCAAGGTGATAGCAGTGAAGGAGAGTAGTGGTCAGATCTGGTTATAACTTGAAAGTGTAGCCAACAGATCCCTGGCGGGTTGAACATAGACATGAGAGGAAAAGAAGAATCAAGGATGACACCAAGTCTTTTGGCCTGAACACCTGGAAGGAGGGAGTTGCCATGAGATGGTTAAAAAAAAAAGTGAGTGAGAAGTACATTGCAGGGGGATTTAATCAGGAGTTCAGTCTGACTCCTGTCAAATTTGATAGTTTTTATTAGACATCCTAGCAGATATGTCAAATAGGTAATACAATGCATGAGTTGTAGATGCTCTTTCAGACCAAGAGACTAGATGAAATCACCCAGGGAATGAGCAGAGAAAGAAAAGACCAAGCACCGAGACTCCATGAGTTGGAACTAGAAAAGGAGACTGAGAAGGAGCATTAATGAAGTAGGAGGAGGACCAACAGAAGGGGTGTTGTCCTGGAGGCAAAGTGAAGGTTGTGTATTGAGGAGAGAGTGACCAGCCATGTCATATGCTGCTGCAGATCTGAAGTTCTGAAGAAAGAGGTGGGGGTGACAGCCTGGTTGGAGAGGTTTAGAAGAGAATGGAAGAGAGGAATGAAAGTCAAGAAATCTTTCATGGGGTTTTGCTGCATAGAGAAGAGAAAAGGAGGGATGGTTAGGGGAGAAAGTGAGGTCAGAATAGGTTTGCATTTTTTAACATGAGAAAAATTATACCACATTTGTATGTTAAGGGGAATGACCCAGTAGAAACTGAAAAATTGACATAATAAAAAAAAGAGAATTGCTGGAATAATGTCCATGTGCAGGCAAGAGGGTGTAGAATGTAGCACACAGTAGAGGGATAAATAGGCACACGGATAGTCATTTATAGCAACAGTTGCGTGGGTGAAGATACTGGAGGCAAGGTAGGTGTGGTGGTAGGTCTGTGGACATTCTCTTCTAGTTGCTTCAGTTTTGTCAGTGAAGTATGAAACAAGGTCATTGGCTGAGTGAGGATGGGGGAGGAGGCTTTCTGAGTTTGAGGAGAGAGGAGGAGTGAAACTGCCATCTAGCAGAACTGGAGAGTGAAGTATGGATAAAGACCCTCTTGAGGTTTATGGTCATGCATTTAAAATGAGACCAAGTAGGGGCACCTGCCTGGCTCAGTCAGTAGAGCATGTATGTGACTCTTGATCTCAGGGTTGTGAGTTTGAGCCCCACAGTGGGTTTAGAGATGACTTAAGATAAATATTTTAAAAATGTAAAAAAAAAAAAAAGTGAGGCCAGTTAACAAGATTGTGTGTTTTTCTCTGGCCATATTCAGTTGCACAGGTGCAGTATGGATTGGGCAGAGAATTGGATTTAACACGGCCTGTGGTTCTTCCAAATAAGGGCAATGGATAAGGGGTAGGATGCAAGGGACTGATTATTATAATCATTGACTAGAATTCACACTGGGTAAGGAGGTGAGGGAAAACATTAAGGAGGCAAAGGAAAGAGAGAAAGCAGTAAGATCAGAGACTTGGTCCTAGATGTGCAGGTGAAGTGTCCCTAAAGTCCTCATACTCTTTTTAAAGCACAAAGAGTTAAAAATTGAGGGAGCCAAATAAATGGTTCAACATTCATGTTAACGATAGGAAAAAAATCACATAGTAAGTTGGAGACAGGATTTGAGCCCAGAACACTCCTGACCTAGCATTCTCTCTGCCACACTTGGGATCACTTTGGGGTCAGGGTTCACAGGCCCTATCAGCAAGGTCCCTGACCACTTGGAGACCCAAGGCAAGGCACGTTGAGGATGGGTGTCCTACTATGTACCCTTCAAATACATGAAAGTGTCCCTTCTTGAGTCAGAAGGGGCTTGAGTCATAAGGCTTCCCTCATCTTTTTTATTTCACTCTTCACATTTCATTTCAGTCTTCAGAAAGTACAGCATCTTTAATCTAACAAAACAGCCTTTTGCCCTGGGTCTGGATAGAAATTCTTCTCCCACATTCAGGCCCGCTACATCACACTCAACGTGCCTATTGGCTTTGACATCTCACCTCCTTCTGGAAGCTCTCTGAGGGCTGTCTAGCAGAACTAGAGAGTGCCAACTGGCCAATTCATACCTAGCACAGTGCCTGACATATAGTAGATACCAAGGTCTGCTTTGAGAAATTTAACCACCTTCTTATCAATAAAGCTTCCCAATTGCTTGTCCTTCCATGCACTCATTCAGGTCTTTTCACAGCCCCGAGACGTGGGCATGATTCCTATTTCATAGTAGAGGAAACTAGGACCCAAAAAAGAGGAAATAACTTACTCAGGACTTTAAATCCTATGTCTTTCCCAAGCTACCATTATAACACATCCACCTAAGCCAGATTAGCCCCTTCCTTTCAGACTACAGACCTCTTCCCTATTAAAGTCAGGCCCTTCCCCACAAGGAACCATCCAGGACAAAAAGGGATACATTTAGAGGACTGCCAGTAAATGGCATATTTAATTCACTGGCCCACCTAATCCCAGATCGGCTACCCCAATCTCCATTGCCTTCTCTCCCTCCCCTCACAAAGAGGCTTTTTCTGCTTCCAGGGGTGTACCAGGAAAGAAGTGTGGGACCATATTGCTGACTGCAGAGGAGCTTAGCAATTGTCGGGTCAGTAAGGCCATATGCTGGACCCACAGGCTCCCTTCTCTCCCAAACTTCCTTTAATGGACTGTTTGACACTATGAACAATTTGGATGTCAACAGCCAAACTTCATCCCTAGGACATTGCCACCATGCAACTGTGTGCAAACAAGCTGGACAAGAAGGATTTCTTTGGGAAGTCAGACCCCTTCCTTGTGTTCTATAGAAGCAATGAGGATGGCACGTGAGTCAAAGTCTTCTCCAGCGGCACCCACCCCTGCTCTGCTGTGACCATGGGCCCATTAGGGCTCTTAGGCTGGATGTGGGGCATCTTAGACTCTACCAAGACCTGAGCTCTGAATTCACTCAAAGCAGCACACTATATGTGTTTAACGAGTGGATAGGGGCACCTGGGTAGCTCAGTGGTTGAGTGTCTGCCTTCTGCTTGGGTCATGATCCCAGGGTCCTGGGATCAAATCCCACATCAGGCTCCCCACAGGAAGCCTGCTTCTCCCTCTGCCTATGTCTCCACCTCTCTCTCTGTGTCTCTCATGAATAAATAAATTTTAAAAATCTTAGGGAAAAAAAGACAAGCAGGGAGATCCCAGGAATGTCCAAGAGGATGAGGCTCTGTCTCTGGGCTCAGTCCTACCACCAAGGCAGGTTCCAGTCCTCTTGCTCCTCTCCAGGTTCACCATCTGCCACAAGACAGAAGTTGTGAAAAATACACTGAATCCTGTGTGGCAACCCTTCAGCATCCCTGTGCGGGCACTGTGCAATGGAGACTATGACAGGTCTGTTTCGGTGTAAGCTAGGGAGTAAGGGAACAAGGGTATAAGAATGGGTTCCCTGGGCCACAGAATGATGGTGTGTCACATGGTGTGAAAGTGTCACAATAGTTTTGGAGGATCCTGCTTGGTGAGGCAGAGTTTTGGGCATGGAGATAGGTAGATAGGGAAGCAAATGGATGGCCACATAGATGGACAGGAGGATGTATAGGTGGAAGGGTAGATGAAAGGGTAAATGAACAAATGAATAAACAGATACATGGATATAGAGCAGATGGATGGATATGCTGATGGACGGGTATATAAGAGGACTGGGGGGTGGGTAGAAGCAGATATGAATGAATGGGTAAAAGATAAATGGATAAGTGGACTGATGGGTAGATCATTAGATGGAGAGATGATGGATGGATTAATGGATGAATGAATAGATGGATGGGTATATGAGAGACTGTTAGATGGCTGGAGAGGCAGAGGGATGATTGAAAAAGCAGGAGGATAAATAGGTAGAGCAAAAGGTAGATTGGTAAATGGATGGCAGATGGATGGAAGGACCAGTAGATGAATTAGCTGATTAATGAGTGTAAAGTAGATGGATAGACTGACCATATGAAGTAATAAATGGACAATATGAAGACAGGTGAGTGGGTCAAAAGATGGATGGGCACATAAATTGATAGTTATGTAGATGAATAGATGATCATATGGACAGATGCAATCGTTGGGTGTTTGGTTAGACAGAGGAATGGACAAATGGATGCCTACAGACATCAGTAAGTCAGTGAATGCCTGGATGTATAGTTAGATGGGTAGATAAAGATTGGGATTAATAGGTAATTAGATTAGCAAATGTATGGGTAGGTGGGTGGCTAGATGGATAGTTGTATGGACTGCAACATAGATATATGGTCATATAGGAAGACTTAGGCATAGTAGTTAAGAACAAAGTCTTTGGAACCAGGATGTCTGAGTTTAAATATTAGCTCAATCACTTACTAGTTATGGTCCTTAGTCAAGTTACTGGGTTTTTTTGTACCTCAGTTTCCTTATTTAAAAAAAAAAAGAATAAAAAAATAAATAAATAAAAAATAAAAATAAAAAAAAGAATAATAGTACTTACTTTATAGGATGGTTGTTAAATCAAAGGAGTCAAACTATGAAAGTGCTGGTAACAATGCCTAGAATATAGTAAGACTCAACAAATAGTAAAGAATAGTAATAGTGGTGTAAACAGCAATAGAAGAAATAACAGAAGTGGCAGTAGACAGTTGGGTATGTGCAAGGACTGATGAATGAATAAATAGGATGGATGGGGTGTTGGGAGGAAGACTGAAGGAAAAACAGATGGGTGTATGGGAGGATGATTTGTGTATTGTTAAGTAGGTGAGGGTGTTTCTAGGATTTATCATACACACTAGCCTATGTTTATCTCCTGCATTTTAGGACAGTGAAGATTGATGTGTACGACTGGGACCGGGATGGAAGGTAGAATTGCCCCACATAGTACTGTCTTCTCTTGTAGTTAATCCAAACAGCTTCCTATAATGCACAGCACATTCACTAGGAACCCAAAGTGGCCTTAGGAGTCAGGAAGGGTGATAACAGATGCCCGGACCTTGAGTACAACTGATCCTCTTGGTTGCATCTTCCCTTTTTCCTCTCGGCCTCTCTTCTGGGCCCAACCCCAGTGCCCTGCAGCCCAAGTAGAGGCAGGGGATAGTGGGAACAAAAGACTAGTTTCAGGGCTGGCTCCACCCAACAGTAACTGCTGCTCACTCACCCCTGGCCTCGCTGCAGCCATGACTTCATCGGTGAGTTCACCACCAGCTACCGGGAGCTGAGCAAGGCCCAGAACCAGTTCACAGTGTATGAGGTGAGAACTCCAGCCCTGTTCAGGTTGCCCAGGCCCTCCATCCCAATGTGCTCAGTCTGTAGCTCCCATCCTCTGTTTCCCACCATCACTGTTATCTTCTTAGGTACTTAACCCTCGGAAGAAATGTAAGAAGAAGAAATATGTCAACTCGGGAACTGTGAGTGCTCCCTGGAGCTTTGGCCCTCCTTAGATTCTCCTGATTCTATTCCCAATGACATAATATGACAAATGTAGGGAGTACAGGAAGGCTTGTGGGCACAGATTACTCAGATATAGTAATGTTGGGCACAAAGTAGCTCCATTTAAGTCTCTTTTGTTGTCTCACCTGAGGAAAATTGTTTGATCTTTGCTGCTTTGACAATTTTTTTTAGACTTAAGTTGTATTTTCCAATTCAATACACTTTTGGAAATTGAGATCTGTTTCTGACAGCTTCCTCTGTTTTGCCCTTTCAGAAATTAGACAGGGTTGGGAATATGGGGTGGAATCATGTGCCTCCCTGCTCTGCCACCCAACTGTCCTTTCCAAAGTAGCAGGGCTGCCTCTCTGTCCCACAGGTGACGCTGCTCTCCTTCTCTGTGGACTCTGAATTCACTTTTGTTGATTACATCAAGGGAGGGTGAGTCACAAGCCAGGTTCTGGGATAAAAGCCCAGCATTGAATTACTTCCCATTCTAAGCCTCAGTTTTCTTATTTATGAATGGTTAGGGTCCATGGAGATAAACTTTTAAACACTTGGCAAACTTTAAAGTGCTCTGTAAAATGCATAGTGTTGCCCATCTTAGTTCTCTTCATGGAGCTGCCTTTCATCCCTAGCTTCCAGTCCCCCTATGGGAAGATGCCAGACCAATGGTCTTCAAAGATGGATCCAGTAACCTAACTGGAGTCCAGATAAAAACCATGGCCAGGCAAGAGGGAGAGGCCAAGAGAGAGGGAAAACCCATGCAGACAAAGGGGACATTCCACTTGGTTCAGTAGTGGTGGGCAGACCTCTAGGTAAAGTACTTTGCTTCTCTGAAGCTCACTTTTCTCCTATGAGAAATGGCGATGTTAATTACTACTTCAGGGCTATAGTAAGAATTAAGTTAAATGATATAAATTACATACATTTGTCACACAGTAGGCATTTAATTCTGCTACCCAGAGTGTTCTCCATGGACCACCAACATCTGCATCATCTGAGAGTTTGTTAGAAATGTAGACTTTCAGGCTCTACCCAGACCATCCAGATCAGAATCTGCATTTTAATACTATCACTAGGTGATTCGTTTCTATACCAGTGTTTGAGAAATCCTGGTATAATAAATATTGGTTTCTCACTTCTCAATCCATCTACTTCCCCAACAGGACACAGCTGAACTTCACAGTAGCCATTGACTTCACAGCTTCTAATGGTGAGGCGTGGATGGGGGAATGGGATATGGAGGAATTTTAAGTAATGCAGTAGGGATTGGCCTGGATTCTGACCTGGGGATAAAGGTTTACCTACTCAGTAATCCCAGGCTTGAGGCAAAGTCCAGCCAGGCTGGTACTGGGACAGTTTTGGGGAGAGTTTATTGGACATAATGGGAGTCAGAGGGTACAAGAAAATAGGTGGGTAAATGAATCAAAAAAAACGTTGAAAGGAGAGATACCTCAAGAAGTGGATGAGTAAACGAATGGATAGGAAATAATAGGGGTACAAAGAGAGATGAAGAGGTAAGTGAGTGAGTATTGACTGGGCGGGTAAATAGATGAACAAACCAAGTGGTATATGGGTTAGTGAGTACAATAGGTTGGACAGGTAGATGAATGACTAGGTGGACAAACAGACATATGTTTAAACTGAAAAATAACAGGTAAGTAGATAGGATAATTAAATGAGTGGATAGGTGGATGAAGTCCATATGAAGACAGGATGAATGGAAATGAATAGGAATGATGGATGGCTGGTAGTTGGGTGGATACTGGATAAGAGAATGAAGAGGCAGATGGATAGAAATGGATGGGTAGACTGAAAGATGGATTTATGTCCAGTGGATGGGAAAAATGGATGTATGGATAAGTGTATAAATTGATGGATAGATACAGGGGTTGGTGGATGGGTAGAGGGATAATTAAACATATGGATGACTGGGCAAAATAATGAGGGAGTATGTGGGTAAAGAGTTGGTGAATGGATAAGTGGTTGGAGGTATACAAGGCTGGACAGGTGAATAGATAAATGATCAAGGTGACCATGAGGCTGGGGGTCTTGTGTCCCTACAGGGAATCCTCTGCAGCCCACCTCCCTGCACTACATGAGCCCCTACCAACTCAGCGCCTATGCCATGGCCCTCAAGGCAGTGGGAGAAATCATCCAGGACTATGACAGTGACAAGCTCTTCCCAGCCTATGGCTTTGGGGCCAAACTGCCTCCAGAGGGACGGATCTCCCACCAGTTCCCCCTGGTATAGTATAGGCCAGAGCCTACAATTCATGCCCTGGCATCTGGCCCACTCAAGTTGGTGAATTTCTCCTCAGGGTCAAGTACCTGCAGAGAACCAGGAAACAATGAGAGGGTAGCAGAGCAGAGAGGGGAGCAGGGCTGGAGTTTGGAGGGGAACATGAGAGAGAGAAATGCAAAAAAGGAATAAGCTGGGATCAGAGCACTCCTGGGTATATCCTGCCTGGCTCAGCCCAGCAAGGCCTCCTCCCTGACAGAACAACAACGATGAGGATCCCAACTGTGCAGGCATTGATGGTGTGTTGGAGAGCTACTTTCAGAGCCTGCGCACAGTGCAGCTCTATGGGCCCACCTACTTTGCTCCTGTCATCAACCAGGTGGCCAGGTAAGGGAACTGGGTGGGGGCCAGGGGAAATGAGGGGACACAGACAGGGGACTGATTTCCCAAGGATAGTCAAGACCACTCTTGAGTGAACCTGGGCTTTAGGGAAAGGGTAAAATTTTCAGTGTTGGCCAAGTTCTGCTATAAAGAGATAAATGCCTTATTCTGAGGTAAAGAGGGTGTCAACAAACTACCCCAACCCCACTCTCTGGGAACAACAATTCAGGTCTCAAGTTTGGGGAAAAGAGACATAGTCCTATAGCACAATGGTTAAGGCACAAGCTTTCGCATCAGACCTGGATCCACCACTCACTAACCATGTGACCAACCTTAAGCAAGTTAGCCTCTCTAAATCCTCATTCTATCCCTATAAATAAGTATAATAATGGATAACAATAGCATTTCTTTATAGGGTTACTGGGAGGTTAAAATTAGATAACAAAGTAAGAATAATTAGCACAGTGTCTGGCCCATAGTAAGTGGTTAATAAACGGTAGATTAAAAAACAAGAAAGTAATTTCCAAAAATAGAAGAGTAACTCCAGGGGTGCCTGGATGGCTCAGTCAGAAGAGTGTGAGATTCTTGATCTCAGGGTTGTGAGTTCAAGCCCTACGTTCTGTGTAGTGATTACTTAAATGAATAAATAAGTAAAAACTTAAAAAAAAATACCCTCCAAATTTTCAGAATAAAAAAAACAAGATCACATATCAAATCACTTTCTAAAATGCAAATAAAATAAAATGACAGAACTAAAATGAATATATCATCAAGCATAAATTGGATAAGTTCATCTATTAAAAGAAAAAGATTCTCTGATTGAATAAAACAATAAGTAAACCCTATAATATGCTGAATAGAAAAGACCTAGCTAAAACAAAGTACCTCAGAAAGCTTGAAAGTAAAAAAGATAAAATTTTTAAAAAGAATATAAATGGAAAGATTTCAGGGAGATTAATATGCCTATAGATTTCCCTTTTCCCTAATAACAATGGTTTATGTAATTCATAATGAAGATAATAGTTTCTTTCAATTATGAAAGTAATCCAACATTGCTGTAGAAAATTTCAAGGATGGATACATGAAATAAGAAATCACTCAGGATACTGCCCATGGAAATATGGATGTATATACAGTTCTTGACAGTTTTTTCCTTATGAATCCATAATTGTAGTCAAATTACATTGCAGGAGCACCTGGCTGGCTCAGTCAGAAGAGCATGAGACTCTTGGCCTCAGGGTCGTGAGCTCAAGCCTCACACTGGGTGTAGAGATTACTAACAAAAAAAAAATTAATTAAAAAAAATTACATGTAGGGGTTCACTACTGATTTTTTCACTTAATACTGGAGACTGAGCATATTTTTGTTGTTATTAAACAGATTTCTTACTATTATCTTAGTTCATTCATTCATTCATTGAATAAACATTCAATAAAGAGGCAATGTAGTATGAATGTGGGCTGTGGAGCCAGACTGGCTAAGTTGATACACCCGCTCTACCACTCCCTAGTTGTGTGACTTTGAGCAAGACCCTGAACCTCTCTATGCCTGTTTCCTCAATTATAAAATGAAAATAATAATAGCAATATCATAGGGTTGTTGTGAGGGCTAACTAAGTTAATATATGTCAAGCACCTAGTGCCTGCTACATCATAACTGCTATAAGTGTCAGCTATTACTGTTACTATTATTATCATTATTACTATTCAAAGGGCATCTGCTGTATGCTCAGTTCTCTGCTGGGGCACTGGAGACTCACAGATGAATCAGATCTAGTATCTGCCCTTGGGAGCTCCCGCCCTGGTGCAGGAGACAGAAATATAAATAAATCATTACTTTCCGTAGGCCAGAGCTTCCCAGACTTTTCCAGCAAGTTGCCTGTTGGCAAAGGCAAGCAATTGCTTCCCCCAGGGAAATCTTAGGGGCACAGCTGAAAGCAACCAGGCTGAAAATGTCTTTGAAGGAACCATATTTATCTTAAAAATTCATGCAAATTTTACATTCTCCTCACGTTGTGTCCATGTTTGCTTTACTTTGGAGGGGGAAAAAGGTATTTTAAATATACTTAGAGTCATCTAGCTTTATCCACCAGATCATACAGTAGAATGGATGCTCCAGGTATCCTGTGACCTTGGGTCTCTGCAGACACACATGCTGGTACCCTCATGGGTGTGAAAACCCATGTGGAAGGGCTGACAGCCAATCCTGGAGGGCAGTATCCTAGAAGGCAGAAGGAGAGGAGAGGAGGGTATAACTTAGTCTGAGAGACCCAAGGCAGCCTAACTTTTGGAGAGGACTGCAGGGCAAGTTGGACTTTATCAGAGAAAGATGCAGAGTAGGCCTGGCAGAAGGAAAAGCATGTGAAAAGTACAGAACCATAAAGGGGCAAGCTCAGGAAACAGTAACAGTATATTATGGCCAGAATGTACAATGTGTGTATGGAGGAGTATCCAAAGAACAGGCCAGGAATGGAGAGTGAAGGAATCAAGAGCTCAGGCTTCAGGCTTAGCTGCGTTCTCTTACTGAGCACTTGAAAAGTAGCTCAGGTGAACAAGGAACCAAACATTTACTTCTACTTACCTTAATTAATTTAAATTTCAATGGTCACATGTGGCCAGGGGCTGCCTTATTGGATAGTGCAGCTCTGTCCTTTCCAACCCACTAAGGGCCTAAGACTGGGAGTCAGGATACCAGGGTGTACCATGACCTTTGTGCTCTCTGAAGGTCACATTTTCCTTATATGTAAAATAAGGGGACTGGACTCAATGACTTCTGAAGTCCTTTTCAGATGGAAAAATCTTGGATTCAAAGATTGATGGTGAGAGAAGGAAAGGAGTAGCTATTAGACTGGCTAAGGACTCAGCAGCATAGGCAATGGGAGATGGCCAGCAGAGAGGAAAAGGAACACAGAAGGAAAGGAGGCCTTTAGCTTTTGGTCTTGCTCATGTATAAAAAACAAAATCTTTCCAGGGGCTGTCAGAGCCCTGTGTGATCTGGCGCCTGCCCCATCTCAGCCCCATGGTCCACTTTGCTTCCCTCATTTTCTGGGCTCCAGACATATTGGGCTTCCTCCAGTCCCATCACAGGGCCCTTGTTTGTGCTGCTCCCTTTGCCCGGAATGATCCTCCCCTTGGTTTAGCTTCTCCTTCAACCTCAAACATTGTTTCCTTAAAGAAGCCTGCATTGACCTGCTGGACCATGTCAGGATCCTCTACTAGACACTGTCATACCAGTGTCCCTTTCCATCACAGTACTCATCAAAAGAGTAATTATACCTATTTCTGTGATTTGGGGGTTAATTGTCTTTCCTCGAGAGGGCTGGGATGAATTTGTTTTTTTCTCATTGTGTACTTCTAGTGCCTACTATAACACAGTACCTACCATAATAAGTTCTCCATAAATGTTACTGGAGGATGTCAGGCAGGTGCAGGCATCCAGGTTTGGGAAAGAAGCATGAGCTTCAGAAACCTGAATCCCTGCCCACTGCTTATAAACTGACTATGGAAGCTTTAGGGGTAGGGTGTTCCCTTGGCTTTTCTGAGCTTTCAGCTGAATTCTGATCTTGGACTCTTAACCAGGGCGGCAGCCAAGATCTCTGATGGTTCCCAGTACTATGTTCTGCTCATCATCACTGATGGGGTCATCTCTGACATGACACAGACCAAGGAGGCCATTGTCAGTGTGAGTCTAAAGAGGTGGTCTTGGCATGGAGGGGCACTATTAACAATTGTGAAGGGCTTGAGATTTTACCCTACTTGCAAGCTAACAAATTAGCCTACCAGTCTCATGGATGCTGGCAGAAGACACAAGACTCCTGGATTGGAGACAAAGGACTTTGTTATTCTCAGCAATTCTTAGTAGCTTGATTATCAGCATTTTCTCTGATTCTAAGTCCCAGTTTCCAAAAGATGATGTGAAGAGGGTCAAATGATACCTGAATCCATAGTGGGATGTATTATAGATCAGAAACTCTGAGCTTAGGATATCTGAATCTTTTATAATGGGCAATAAGCATGCCCGCCCTTTATTCCAGTGTGAGATACTTTATTAAGCAAACCTGACCTTTGCTCCAAAGGAAGATACTCTATCTTTCAAGGCTATTTGATATGCAGACATCCTTGAAAAGATATTCTGGAACAAAGGGAATCAGTGCCTCTGCTTGCAAGATGTACAGAAACATGATACATGCACAGAGAATTGTCCCCAACAGTTACCTCCATTGTTATGACTGCTCACCCCTACCATTCAACCTCTTTCCCTCACAGGCCTCCTCACTGCCCATGTCTATCATTATTGTTGGTGTGGGACCAGCGATGTTTGAAGGTGAGTAGGATCGGGGGTATCTGTAAATGAGACCAAGAACTGGAGAAAATAGGGGAGGATCTGGGCACCTGGGCCTGCCTCACATAAAAGATAAGATGGATGACTATATTAAGCCTTGGCCAAGTCCCAGCCCTTCTCTGAACCTATTTCCTTATTATAACCAAGGCTGTTGATATGAGTATTTCCCTCTTGGGGTTCCTGGGAGGATGGAATGCATGGGAAAATATAATAACTCCGTAGCAGTGCCTAAAATTTGTTAGGACTTGAATACACCATTAAAAATTTTCATGAAAAAAATATTTTCATGATGACTCCGAAGCGGAGCTAACAATGAGGGGGGTAGCATGGGTTGGTGTGGGAGAGGGCAATCAGCTGAGGAGTGTCTTCTCTGCAGCAATGGAAGAACTGGATGGTGATGATGTGCGCGTGTCCTCTAGGGGACGCTATGCAGAGCGGGACATCGTTCAGGTAGACCTAACCAGGGAGAGGAAGTCATGGAGCCAAAAGGCACAGTGGGAAGGACAGGCTAAGTTGGCAGCCACTCTCCCTTACTGTCTTAATCACCTACTTTTCTCCCTGTTACTCCTTCAGCAGTCCTGCATTCATTGAACAAATTCTTTTTGAGGATCAGGCAGGTTGCCGCAGCCCTAATGTATCCATAGAATAGGAGATTCCCCAAAGCCCCGCCCTCTAGTGGAGGCAACCAATAATAATCACACAGCTAAACAACTCTACATTGTGTTAAGTGCTACAGAGGAACAGCAAAAGTCACCGTAAGAGCCTGTAACAGGGATCTGACTTAGTAGGGTAGTGAGGGAAGGCTTCTTATAAGGAAATGGCCTTTGAGCCGAAACCTAAAGGAAGGTTGCTCTACCTAGGTATTGCAGGTAGAGGAGTAGCATGTGCAAAGTCCCTGAGGCTCAGAAGTATTAGCTCAAACATGGAAAAGGCAAGAGGCCAGGGTGGCAGGATCCCAGTAAATGTGAAGAAGAGGGAGACAAAGCCTTGCTGATTATGATGAAGATTTGGAGTTTTGTTCTAAAGAACTGGAAAGCTCTTGAAGGATTTTATATAGGGGACTGAGGTGGTCAGACTTACATTTTAAGAGGAGCTCTGCTGCATGGAGAGTTGACTGCAACAGGGTGAGAGAGAAGGCAAGTATACAGACCTGTCAGTGAGGAAGACTTTGAAGCAGTAGAGGAGAGATGACAGGAATCTGGACAGGAATGGAAGCAATGGGGATGGAGAAGAAGCAGGTTCAAAAGATTATTTTAAAAAAATTTTACAAGAGTTGATGCTTTGATTAAATGGTGATGGGGACTGAGAAGAGCTTCATGGATGACTCTGTTTGCTAGCTTAAGCAACTGGTTGAGTGACAGTCCCATTTATTGGGAAGGGGAAACCTGGAGGAGGAACCATTTGGCAGTCAGGGCCAGAATTCAGTTGTGAACACACTGGGTTTGAAGTATCTAAGACAAGTGATATGATATGGGCAACTAAAATGTGGCTCTGGACCTTTAAAAAAAGAGGCCAGGGATGGATGTATAAATTTGGGAGTCATCAGACTACAGTTTTTAAAGTCATGGAAGTGTATGAAATCAACACAGGAAGAGAACTGAGAGAGAGAGAAGTGATCAGGTTTAGAAATCAGGTAGACCCAGGGGAATGGGGGTGTAGGGAAGGAGCACCCAGAAAGGAACGAGAAAATACAGAAGAGTGTGGTATGTCAAGAGTGGGATGTGTCTAGGAAGATTATGGTAAAATGTAATGAAAAGCTAAAGAAAAGTCAAGCAAGATGAGGACTGACAATTATTGCCCACTGGACTGATTTGGGAATATAGGGCTATTACATTGCCAAGAGCAGTGTCAGTACTGCGTGAAGCCAAACTGAAGTAGACTTAAGGTGAAAAGGGGGGAGGGGAGAAAGTAAATAATGGAAAGCCGTCCAAGATCAGAGGAAAAAGATAGTGTGGTGTTCGGAAAGAGATGTTAAGGGTCAAAGAGGCAACCTCCTTACTGCTCCCCTTCCCATTCCTCTCTTCCCTGGCCATTATCTGATTGTGCCTGTCTCAGTTCGTCCCATTCCGAGACTATGTCGACCGGTCGGGAAACCAGGTGCTGAGTATGGCCCGACTAGCCAAGGACGTGCTGGCTGAGATCCCAGAGCAGCTGCTGTCCTATATGCGCACCAGGGATATCCAACCTCGCCCCCCACCTACTGCCAACTCCAGCCCAACCCCAGCTCCAGAACAGCCCTGAGAAGCCTACCCATTCAGTAACTAGCAGTCTGCCTGCCTGCCCACCCACTGCTTCTGCTGAAAGCCAGAGGCACCTGGAGCCCCGGACCTCACTGAGAGTCCAGCTTGGAGGATCAGTGTGGGCTGATCGAGCCCTCTGTCCCCTCACCCACAGAAGGGCCTGGCAATGTCACCACCTCCCTGCCTTCATGCCAGTAATAAAGCTGATCTTTATTCCACTTGTCTCATGGTTCTTGGGAAAAGAGACTGAGGGACCCAAGGGCCTGGGGTTACACCAAGAGAAATAAGCAAAAACAGCTTCAGATAAGGTTCATCCTTTCATCCATCCATCTAATCACTTCTTCACACATTCTTCAAACACTTTAAAAATGATAACAGAAGGGCACCTTGAGTGGCTCAGTTAAGCCTCTGTCTTTGGCTCAGGTCATGATCTCAGGGTCCTGGGATCAAGCCCTGTATCAGGCTCCAAGCTCTGCAGGGAGTCTGCTTCTCCCCCTCTGTCTCTCAAATTAAAAAAAATTTTTTTAAACAGAAAGTTTCTTTTTATATATATAAAAACTTTATTCATTCATAAGAGACACACAGAGAAAGCCAGAGACATAGGCAGAGGGAGAAGCAGGCTGGGACCCTAATGTGGGACTTGATCCCAGGACCCCAGGATCATGACCTGAGCCAAAGGCAGACACTCAATCACTAAGCCACCCAGGTGCGCCCAAAAAAAGTTTCATATTAAAAAGAAGAAGAAGAAGAAGAAGAAGAAGAAGAAGAAATGATAAGTAAAACTTTGAGTGTGTGCATGTTTTTTTCTGAGGAGAGGCCCATAGCTTTTGCCAGGTTCTTTTTTTTTTAAGATTTTATTTATTTATTCATGAGAGACAGAGAGAGAGAGAGAGAGAGAAAGAGAGAGAGAGAGGCACAGGCAGAGGCAGAAGGAGAAGCAGGCTCCATGCAGGCAGCCCGATGCAGGACTCAATCCTGGGACTCCAGGATCATGCCCTGGGCCGAAGGCAGGCGCTAAACCGCTGAGCCACCCAGGGATCCCCCTTTTGCCAGGTATTTAAAGGGGTTCCTGACCTCAAAAGGGAGTCAGCTTTACAATGACTCTGTCTCACTCTGCTCTGATCCATTTATTCTGAATCTTTTAATGAGGATAATAAAAATAGCTAAATACTTGAGTATTCATTATATATGTAGGTGATTTATAACATGTTCTTATTTAATCCTCACTACAATTTTGTGAAGTAAGCACTATATTTTATCTCCACTTTATACACCAGGAAACTGAGGCTCAAAGAGGCTAAGCCACTTTTTGAAGAGAAATCATTAATTTGACTCCAGATCTCAAGATATTACCCAGCAAACATCTTCCTGGAGTGTCACTTTTATTAGAATGTTTTTCAGAAAATATTTATGACAACACATACGTTACAGTGGGTCGAATGCAAGGTTTGCATTAAGGTATAACAGAAACTTCCTTTTGCTTCTAACTTTGCCTCAGAACCCTGGAAGACCCTTTCATGTTCTTCTTTGGATGGGAAAACTGAAGAGGCTCAGCAACAAGCATTGCTTAACCAGTGGACTCTTCCCAGCACCTAAGTTCACCAAAACCCCCAAGAACTGACAATAGTTTTCGAGCTCCCTTTTATAAATACGAAATTTAAGGTAGGAAGAATTTAACAACTTGCTTCACATAGCTACTAAGTGGCCCAGTCACATTAAAGCCAGCTGTCTGTTTTGACACGATCTTCCAACCTCCCATAGCCATGATGCATTTTCCCGCCACCCCTAAAGGGTTCCCAGCATCTGAATCCCATTCTACCGTGCACAAGTCTTTTCAACCAGGCTTCTATACCAACTTCCGCCCCTTCCTTCAATCCACAGTACTGCCGCTTTGCCTCTCCCAAGCTCCCTCCCTTTCCTTCAGCAACTCCCGTTATCCTAGACCTGGTCCCGCCCTTTCCCTCCAGCCCCGCCCCTTTGCCTTTTCCAAGCCCCGCCCCCTCACTTCAGTCCCAGCTCCGTCCTTTCTCCCCAGCCCGGCGCCTTCCCGGCCCTTCTAAAGCCCCGCCCTTTCTTTCCTGAGGCCCACTCTTATGTTTAGCTCCACCCTTTTACCCCTGTTCAGCCCCTATTCTCCTTACTGGGGCCCACTTTACAAATGTCCCCGCCCATTCTCCGCAAACTCCGCCCCGTGGAATGGTTTCTTCTCCGCCAGACCCGCCCTACCCCTACCCAGAACTCCGAGCCCTTCCTTAGGCTCCAGCCGGCGTCGCTCTGGCTCCCGGCCCTGCCCCCAGTCCCGCCCCGTGGCTCCAGCCCCGCCTCGCCGCCTTTCTCGGAGACCAAGGCCAGGTCCCTACTGCAGCCGCGGCGCCAGCAGGAGGGAGGGAGGAGGCAGAGGGGGAAGGGAGAAGGGCGGGCTCCTTAAGCCCAGCCCCGCGCTCACCGTCCGTGTCCGCAGATTCGCCACAAACGGCCCGACTACTCCGGATGCCAAATACCGCGATTTCAGTCTACAGAAACTCAACTCTAAGATGGAGGTGCTAGAGAGGCCATGTGGGGTGCCCAGGGGCTCTTCCGAGTTCCAGAGAATGGCGTCTCGAGGCTCAGCAGCCGGGCGGGGATCTGTGGCGAAAGTGCAGCTCAGCAGCGCCGAGGCGCCGAGTTTACCCTGCGCAGACGCCGTCGCCGCCGCTGCTGCCGCCGCCGCTGCCACTGCCTTTGCCGCCACGGTCTCCGCCGCCGCCGCCGTCCCCGCGCTGCCTCCGGGAGCCTCCATTGTTCCGGCAGTGTCGGGTCCCGAGGCCAGACCACCTAGCGGCTTTCGAAACGGGCGGCGGCCGACGGAGTTGAGACACCAGGGCGCCGGCGGGACCGGGAGCGGCAGGGGTCAGCGCGGGAATCCCGGGGAGCCGGGGGCAGAGCGTGGGGCGGCAGGGAGCCGGGGTGGCGAGGTCTGCGGTCTCCGGAGTTGGGGCTTTCTCTCCCCGGCCCGTCTTTCCCCGCCGGCCTCCCCAAGTGGGGTCGGAGCCCCGGCGGGCGCCCCCGGCGATGAGCCCGGACTCGAGGTGGCCGGTGAGTGCGGGCCTGGGACCAGGGCGGGAGTGGCCAGCGGGGAAGGGCTAGGCTACTTTCGTGGGGTGTGCACTGAGCAGCCCGACCCGGGTGCCCCTTGGGCCACTCCAGCAGCGAGAACTGACAGTGCATTAGCTCCCAGCCCGCGTCCCAGGGCAACAGAGTATCCTCCAGGGCTGCCTGGGCCAATGGCAGGAGGGGAGCCTTGTTTAACATGTTACACTTCGACAAAAGGGAAACGTCGCCGCATCCGGGAGAGGGCTGCGGGCACCGCCTGGGCCCGGCCTGATCGCTCCGGCCCCCGCCCCCTACTTCCTCCAGCCCCCTGAGCTCCGCTGCCTTACCCCCGTGGGCTCTGAGCCTTCCTTACCGTCTTCCAGTTTGAGTTCTTGTTTCCACCCCTTGTGCCTCTGTCGCCCAGTCCCAGCGGGACATCTGCCGGGGGCTCTGTGCTACTTTGGGAGCCAGGGCGACAGAGCCACAGAGTACACCAGGGACCCATCGTTGAAAGAGAGGAGCTTGCGTGTTCCTCTGATTGGTTTGTGTTTAAAGACACAGCTGCAGGTAGGAAGTAAAAGTTGAAGGAGGAGTTTTACAATGTAGAAGTCAGGGGCTTTGACAGAGAGGCTGGAGCAGCCCACCTGGCTTAGCTAAGTTGCAGGAGAACAGGCCAAGAGGGGTCACTGTTTGTCTGGGAGCTCACGGTGGCTTTACCTGGAATGGTGCCAACACCCTGGCTGAACTGCTGAACCCAACTAGGCCTAGAGAAATTGGGGCAGTATCTGACCAAGCTGGGCTTCCTGGGGGCTGGTGCCATCTGCTGTCACTACTCACCCAGGAACATTGGAGAAGAGGAGGAAGGGAAGGCCCTGAGGACCGTCGTGGAGCTGAATGTGCCTAGATTGTCATGATCCTGTTTGTACCCTTAATACCTGGTGTCTAGGGCCTAGACTCCCAGGGCCAGGGTCTGGTACCACTCCCAGAGCCAGGGTTAGGACATAGGCTTCCCCCAAAGACCTCAGAAATGAACTGCTTTTTTCTATAATGCAGTGATTTCTGCTGGTGTCCAGAATTAAATCATTGGCTACCCATTCAGCTTCTATATGGGTTAACACTAGCCTTCATCCATCTGTCAGCTCCAAATCTGGTGATACCCTCATTTAGTTATTCATTCAACAAGTTCTTCACTCATTTGCCAAAAACTGTCCACTACATGCCAGATACTGGGGATATATAGAGGTGGGTAGGCTCTGATGTCTCCACTGCACAGTACCCAGTCTAATGGGAGGAGACAATGAATTTCCAATGTGGTAAGTGCCATGCCATCATAATAGAATGATGAGAATGGAATCATGTAGAAATACAGCTCCCCATGGGAAAAACAAATCATAACAAGAAGTGACAGCTGGGTTTTGAAGAACAAGTAGGAGCTCACCAATTAGGATGGAAACCATTTCAAATAGAGATCATCTTGCAGGAATGAAAGGTTATAATATTCAGAGTATGGCAAGTTGCCCTGAGTAGACAGAAGCACAGCTGTAACTAATGAAAAGAGTCTGGACAAGAGGACTAGGGCCAGACAATGAAAGGAGTACCTTGAATTTCATCATAGGGTATTTGGATATTATCCTGAAATAAGTGGAGAGCATCCGGAAGCTTTTAATCAAAAGATTGACATGATTGTTGCTACTTGGTAGAAAGATGACTCTGGCCACATGATGTGAGATTAGGCTAGAAGAGTTGAGATATATAGGGTAGGATGACCAGGCAGGAGGTGATGAGGCCCAAAGTATAGCCGTGGTGTGGAGGCAGTGGCATTTGGAGTCACTGTAGAGGTGGTCTGGCCAGAAAGTGAGCTCTCCTCTTGGGGAGAAGGAGGGCTAGAGAGAGTAGAATGGATGGCCAGGAACTCATCCCTAGGCCTATACTAACTGATCTGTACATTCTAGATGTGACAGCATGGGGGTGGACTTTGATGTGAAGACTTTCTGCCACAACTTGCGGGCAACTAAGCCACCGTATGAGTGCCCTGTGGAGACCTGCCGCAAGGTCTACAAGAGCTACAGTGGTATCGAGTACCACCTATATCACTATGACCACGACAACCCACCGCCCCCGCAGC